CCCCCCCACCCACTGGCCCTGGCTCTTTCCTCTTCCCTGCCCCCAGCTACCAGGGAGGGGAGCCCAGGTGAGGTTGTTCCTGGCTCTTACTCCCCAGCCAGAGGGAGGGAGGGTGGCCTCACAGGCTCTGTGTTCTTCCTGCCTCCCCGCCCCCTCCTGGCCACCAGGATGGGGAAGGGGACTGCTCCTGGGCTTCTCAGGCCCTCCACTCCTCCCCCTGGCTGCCAAGGAGAGAGGGGGGCCTCTTAGGGGCCTCACAAGCCCTGCACTCTTCCCCTCAGCTTCTGGGAAATGGGGAATAGGGAGTCTGCCACATGGCAGCAGAAAACTGGAGAAAGGGGAGGGGGACAGTGCTCCCTCTAAGCTGCATGGCAGCACAGCTTCACAGGTGCGAAGCCCTGCCCAGTCAATCAGCTCCCTGCAGGGAGCTCTGAGCCTCTGACTGGGAGGGGCTGATTAATCACCTGTGATGATGTGCTGCTGCACAGCTTAGAGGGAACACTAGAGGGTGGAGATAGGGAGAGGCTGTTGGACACATCACTCTTGTCATCCTGCAGGAAAAACGTTTGTATATATTATATAGAGAAAAAAAATCTGCATACGTCATTTAAATCAATGCTCTGGGGTGCGGCTGGAGATGTGGGGTTCAGTATGCAGGCTCCCCAGGGACAGAGACCTACCCAGCCTACTGTCACTGCAGCAGCTTGGGGCTAGGTGAGAAGTGCCTTTCCATGTCTGCTGCAGCTCCATTGGGAACAGCCAGGGGAGGAGTGCATGGCCCCTGGCTGGGGCAGTTCCAGGTTCATCTGCCCCTTGCTCTCCCCAGCCAGAGTGAGGAATGCAACAAACTGTGAACTTTGCCCTCTCCTGGAAGAAGGAGAGCAACAATGTTCCTGTATGAATCCCCATCCTCCCTGATGGACACCTGGGGAGTGGGAGGCTCAGGACAAGAACAGTTCCAACTAGGTGAAAGGAGGCACCTTCCATCTACATCTTTCATCTGCCTGGTGATTCTGTGTCTCTGTGCAGCTTAATGAGAAGCAATACCATTCCAGGCACGTCCCATTTTCCTGGAAGAACCACATTTTGACTTTGCTTTAAATTATTATAAGAGGTATCTCTACCAAAGTTGGTGGCCTTAGCACTTACCATTTAGGAGCACTCCTTGAACAGACAGACAGATGGACAGACAAACTTTCTCAAATATATTTACTTCAATTTGCGGTCAATGAAAATTAACTTCTCCTAGTATTTAACTAGCTTTCTTTTTAAATGTAGTTTGCTGAACATATATTATTCATGGAGCGAGGTGATCAGTGTCTTCATGGTTTTGGAAATTGATGATAACTTTAAAATGGCTTCAGCTGTAACTCAGAGATGGGGAACTTACCATTTAGGGCCAGATTCTGATATATTAATTCACACTGAATAGTATTTTACTCATTTGGCTGATGTGTTGTGACCCAGGAACCTCTTGGTGCCTCTGATAGAGCACCTAAAAGCTACAGAGGGTCTGGTATTTGCATTTTAGTTTACCAAAGAATGTCATGAAAGGTGGCTAAGGAGTAAGTCAAATGTTAAAGGTGGGATGTGGAAACAACATAGAATTGTGCAACACTAGAACTGGAAGGAGCCCCCTGCAAGTCATCAAGTCCAGTCCCCTGCCCTCACAGCAGGACTGGATCATATAGTTTGTCTAATCTGCCCTTAAAAATCTCCAGTGATGGAGATTCCACAACCTCCCTACGCAATTTATTCCAGTGCTTAACCTCTCTGACAGCTAGGAAGTTTTGAAAGCACATAGGAAAAAACAAGCCATGGAAGTTGAGGCAGAATATCCTGTTGCAAAAGGAAACAGTCTCAGGGGGACTATTATGAAAACACCAGGGAAAAACTTGGGGCAGGCTATCACAGAGGAGTTTGAAGAATGCTTTGTTAATTAAGTTTGACCTTTAGGGTGTGTCTAGACTAGAGGGTTTTTTCAAAAAAGTGGCCTTTTTTTGAAAAAACTTCCCCTGCGTCTAAACTGCTGCTACATTCTTTCAAAAGTAAATCGAAAAAATGTGGAAGTTTTTTCAATGGCAAAAAAACCTCGTTTTACAAGGAAGAATGCCTTTTTTCGAAATGCTCTTTTGAAAAAAAGCGCTATGTAATGCAAACTGTGCTTTTTTGAAAGAGAGCATCCAGACTGCCTGGGTGCTCTCTTTTGAAAAAGTGGCCTGCTTTTTCGAAAGTACTGATTGTAGTCTAGACGCTCGTTTTCGAAAGAGGCTTTTTCTAAAGTATCTTTCGAAAAAGCCTCTTTCAAAAGAGGCTTGCAGTCTAGATGTAGCCTTAGAAGCTACATTATAATTTTGGTTTAACCATTTGTTTCCAATGGTGTTACTTTCTTTCCCTTGAAGCTCTGTTCTGTGACAATAAAGTTAGCCTTGTTTTGACCACAACTAAGTGCTGGATGCTGACCTGACTCTTACAATCTGGTTTGTGCACCATTCCTTTGGGGATAGCTACTCTAAGCGGTCTGGGAGTGTTCTGTGAAACAGGGTGGAGCACGCTTAGGAGCACTTGGAGACCTCTGTGGTTGGTGTGTGCCTTTTGTTCATGTGTATAGACGGCAAGGTCTGCCAAGATCTGGAAGGCAGAACTTGTGTTGCCAGACACTGGTGGTTTCAGGGAGCTGAGGCACGGAAGGCATATACATGACTTTCTTACACTAAAGCAAGTGGTGTTGAGGTGCTACACAACCCTGGAAGTGCTACTTGTGTACTGAATATGAGGCCCTCTCCTACCAGATCCACTCACTTCAGTTTGATAGGTTAGCTTTACCCACCTCTAGCTACTAGTAACCTACCTAAAAAACAGAGCCACGGAAAAGTCAGATTGCAGAGCTGAGTAGGATGTTTATAACATATCAGAATAGGAGCATAAGCTTGTAAATAGCCTGTTCCTCCAAGGAAAAGTAAACCACAGACATCTCAGTGATTGCCCAGTAATTTGTCATTCTGTTATAGTATTTGTATGATGTTATTGGGACTAAGTGGGGTTTATGGTGTGGTTTGTTAATAAAACGATCTGGCCAGCACTGTCTTTAATGATTGAATAAAACAGCATTCACTTTATTTTAACTGACATAAGCCGCCTGTGAGCTTGGTGTTGCTGCTGCACTGCTGACATGAGCAGCAGAAAGTAACCTTGTAGCATGTGCTGGAGTCATTTTTCTATCAACACAATCTCGGAGAAATTGATTTTGCCCTTCAAAAAATTAAGTGCAGCTAGTAAAAGAAGTCATCAGTGTCTAGCCTAGTGACTATAAATAGAACCAATTCCAGCCTTTTGGGGGTTGATACAAAACAAAGAATTGAATGTGGGTAAAGGTAGCTCTTAGACTAACTGGCCCCAAAGTTCAGGTGTCCCTCAGTGCAAGAATGTGCTAAGGGAAATCGCTAATTGATTCTGTGATTGAACAACTGCACTAGGCTTTGGCATTTCTGATTCTCTGGCATTCAGTATATTTTATTTACATTTTTAGAGCTTTTTAGGCTTTTCTCATTTCTTTTTTCAATGTTGGTGTAGCCGTGTTGGTCTCAGGGTATGAAAGTGACAAGGTAGATGTCCAATATCTTTTATTGAACAAATTCTGTTGGTGGAAGCTGAAAGATTTCTAGCTACACACAGCTCTTTGTCAGGCCTGAGAAAGGCAGCAGTGTCTGAGCTACATACAAGTTGGGACAGATTGTTGAGTAAAGAGGTAATGCTTGTTGTAGGGGGTCACTTAAAATAGGTAACTGGATGTTAGATTGTTATACTTGCTGTAGGCAGTTAAGGGTAGCAGGCAGTATGGCGTGTTACAAATAAGCCATAAAACCTGGTAAGTCCATAGCTTTTGCTCTGTAGCAGAATTATGAATTGAAGTTCCCAGGCTCACCTTTTGAAGGTGTTTAGTAGGTTTCTTTTGAGGGCAGGTATTGGAAGAGCTGCATGTACATGTGAGAGCTCTTTGTGAAAGTGTTTGTCCAGTGGCAATATGGTGCTTTTGTCTTGTTATCATTTTTCTGTGGTAGAGTAAGGAATTGAGTCCAGATCTCTGGCTAGATCATTAACCATTGGATCATCTGTCCCTTCTAAAAATTCTGGATTTAATTCAAACCATGGCAGGGAAAAGTTTTCAATGCAGTGCCTGGGAATTAGCATCTCCACATCCAATAACACTAAATATAAATTACATGTGTAGCAAAATTCCTGTGTCATGCTAAAATATACACCCGATTCCAGGTACACAGAGTAGAACCTTATTCTGCAAACAATCCCAATTATTACAATTCATGGTGTCACAATGAATTGTACCTCACTTTGCAATTAGTCCCATTCAAACTACAGGGGAAATTTGTCAGTCAGCATGAGTAAGAGAAGGGGACAAAATTGAGCCATGTATGAACAATGCCACCATGTAAATCCATACCTTCTTTTGCCTTTGCTTTCTCCCTTCACCATCTTTCTTCCCCTCTCCTCTGTATCCCAGTTTATATAATTTGTAACGAAGTTTGGTCAGTGATAGAACTAATGTCCTAGTGAAGAAATGTTGAAACATCCTGGATTTCTTCATCTTACCCTGACAACAAACTGATTGAGCCAAAACCCAAGACATTTGTGAGGTTTCTGTAATCTTTAAGTGTGTGTATCACCACAAAAGCCAATCCTACCATGGAAATCTGGATTTTTTACTGTTACCTTTGGTGATATGACTTTTTGCTTTGACTTTTTCAGGCTGTATCTAAAAGGTCACTCAGGAACAGCAGGAAAGCAAAGTAGCCTGATCTTACATGGTGCTGATTTCAGTACTAAAGATGCTGATAATGACAACTGCATGTGCAAATGTGCCCTCATGCTAACAGGAGGTAAGCACACTACCATGAAGGCATGCTCTCTATATACTTTAATCTGCTGTGCATTTCTAAACTGGCCATGATGAAGCAACTTTGGGGGAAAGATGATGTGCAGTGCTCTGAGAGATTCCTTGAGAGGCTGTTACTTTGGGCACTGTGATTGTGCTCCCCAAAGTGCCTGCTATGTGCTGTAGAAATATGTACACTCTGGTATCCAAAAGTTTACAGTCTAATTTGAAACAAGCTGCAACAAGTGGTGGCAAACAATAGAAGGGAAAGGTGGAAAGAAAATGAAAGAGAGTGGGTGGGGGGGGGGGGGGAAAGGAAGGGGGAAAGAAGAGAAGGAGAAGGGAAAGGTTAAGGGCGTAGGGAAGGAGAAAGATCAGAAATGGGAAAGAGAAAGAGAGTGTTAGAGATAAGAAGAGTAGACACAGAACAGTTCAGGCAAGAGAGCTGGATGGAGTCAGAAGAAAATAAAACGCAGAAGGGAAGCCTATCAAGATATTCAGGCCTATTTTACCCCCAGTTCTTGTATAGGTATAACTGTTTCCATTTACAGGTGTGATATTTTTAAATAAAAAATGGATATGGACACAACCCCAATAGAGATACAACGTTAGAGGTGACAAACTGCTACAGCTTATTGCCCTTCGCAGACAGGACTATCCATACTGGTATAGATTATTTGGAGCAATTCAGACTAAACCAAGAGGAATGGTCTCCTTTCTCAAGCAACTGCCTCTGGGGAGCTCCCTGCGGTTTATTTTGGCTTTAGCATGGTAGGTTAGTCAGCCCTTATAAACTTAAGCTATGTCTACACTAGTGCCTTGGTGAGTAAAACTGGTCATATGTGTGAAAAAAAAAACCCAACCCAACCAGCCTCAGGTTCATTGAGAAAAGCACACATGTGGACAGTGCAGTGTTGGCAGGAGATGCTCTCCCACCGACATAGCTACAGGCAGTCCCCGAGTTACGCGGATCCGACTTATGTCGGATCCGCAGTTACGAATGGGGATTTTCTCGCCCCGGAGGACTGGAGCAGCGGGACACCTGGTCCCGCCGCCCGCCTCCTCCGGGGCGAGAAAAGCTGCTCCCCATCTCCCTGGTCTGCTGGGGGAGTCAGCAGACCAGGGAGACACAGAGCAAAGCGGCGGAGGACCCGGGCCGGACCTGCGGCGCTGATCTGGAAGCGCCGCGGGTCCGGCCCGGGTCCTCCGCCGCTTTGCTCCCTGTCTTCCTTGTCTGGCGGGCTTTCCCGCAGGCACGGGG